TTCCATTTCAAAACTTCAATTGCCCTCTAAGTTCTTGATGATTTTAGCTGCTGGCTCACTGCCACTCTCTCCAACATTATTCCTCATCCTAATCTGCAGAGATTTGAAAACCAGTTTAAGTGATGTTCCCAACACCTTGGCAATTCTATTAACTCCCATGGTCATACCTCAGAATTTGTCATTAGCAGTAATTGAAAATCCTCTATAATCCTAACAGAAAGTATCCTATATTCCAACTGTAACATTCTACTTTCCTAACTTTCTTCAAAGCCCAATTCTGTGCTCATATGGGGCAACTCACCTCTTTTGCAGCTATTCTTTATCTTTCAAGTTCTTAGAAGGCACTAAGATTCCTCTACCTTGCAGCATTCAGGTACGTGACACTGCCTCTTCCTAGGAGGCAATGCTTTGAGCTTTTTGCCTCTCTGCAATTTCATAAATGATATCCCTTCACATCAGCCTTTCCCCCCAAAATATAAATGTCTCCTCCTTTTATTCTCCATCACATCACTCTCCCCATTATCTTCTTAGCCCATCATGTGGTTACTTGTTTGCTTCATTTTGCATCAGCAGACTATCATCACTGTTTGCTGGCCAAGGCTATGCCTGCTTTATTTACTGCCGTATACAAAGCATGTTATCAGTTAGTATTTAATAAGTGCTTGACAAATAAAAGAAAAAAATGATTGATGTAAAGAGAATAAAATCAACTAAAGAAATCCTGCTCTGTCAAGAAAGTGAAATTTACACGGAAATCGGGAACAAGCTTTATAAAAAATTCTTTAATCTTACTCTTGTTGGAATCCTTTCCCTAGTTTAAATTACATAAAAGAATCTTAAATATGAATCAGATTTCTCCTTTGTAAGCAAGGAAAACCTATAGTACCTAGAGCTATTGAGATGATTAAATAAAAAGTCGATATGGCACTTTAACTGGGCATGGCAAGTAAGTGGTCAATAAATGCCTGCTATTACCCTGAAAAGAGCACTTGGAAAAGACTCTGAATATTAGGCTGCAAATGAAGGATGTGATTATAGCAAAAATTAAAATTGGAAGAGGTTTGTTTCTCTGCCTTGCTGTTGCTCTTTCAACTCTGAGATGCCTAGCTCAGAGATTATTTTTCCCCTGGAAAATCAGGAAATATTCTATCAACTTCCTATGAAAGGTCAGAAATTGTCACAAATCAGTCTAGCATAAGACAATACAAAGCCAAATGAAAACATTTTTAACAAACTGCCTTCCAAAGGCTTACATTTGTATTTTTCACAAAATATCAGTAACAACTGTCATAGTATTATTCTAATTATGTTTGAATAAAAAAGATTTACTGCCTAGTTCCATCAAGCAAGTAATGAACAGTTTCATGGTGTTTTCCACCTTCAGTCAACTCTATCCGTGGCTGAAGCTAAAGCAAAGACAGCTAACATACAAAATAACATATAGCACAAATTACAGGTCAAATGTAGAACTTTAATTTTAACTTATTACTGTGGATAAAACCTACCCTAACATCTATTTTTCCAAATGACAGTATGAGCAAATCAATGAAAACTAACAGAAAAAAGCTTTTTATTACATGAAGATATGTTGAAACTGTTACTATCATTCTCAAAATTCTCTTCATTTCTAACAAAACAAGACTGTTCAGCCCATCATATGACCTACTTGGCTGGGCATTCTTCACTACTTACTCATACACTGGAATTGCACACTAAAAATCATGTGAATATCTTGAGATGTCAGAAAAAAATTTCAGAAAGTTACCTAAAGTTTTTGGTTCAGCATAATCAAATACTTCTAGCTTTTATGAAAAAGTAGCCTTTAACCTATGTGAAGCAAATAGGGATTACATTTAATAGGCTTTCTGAGGATGAGATAATTACCAAAAGTTACTAAATAATTTTTATTCATTACCACTTAAAGTGTGTCAAATAGTCGACATGCCACTAACCAAAGTTGATGTTAACCTACAAAATGATTCCTAAATGTGTCCAATACTAATAGACATTAAAAGAAATATATAGTTCTAAGATAGGATATATTAAGAAATTAAGTAGTAACAAATGGAAAACAGTGTATTATTATATGAATTATACGTGAATGGGTGAACTATTTAAACATTTTTATAAAGGAACAATGAAAGATACAAAAGAAACCAAAGTAGTTACCTACAGGGGATGAGGGAAGAAAACAGGGATGGGAGTTAGTCTTGTCAATGTTCACCTTTTTAAAATTAAACTGTTTAAATTTTTCAGCCATGTGAACATATGCCTAGTTTTAAAAGAAATATATACCTTATGTAAGTGTATGTCTTTAAAATCAACAAACATAAATAAATATATTTGTATCTGTGGTGCAAAGACTAGAAAAAAATTTTTTTTAAAGGAGGATTTTTTTACATCACTGGATGTCATATTTCTGAGTCATAGTTTTGGCCAAACAGAACTTTACAATAACGGCTCTTCCTCCACTTTAAAATCTGAGAATATTTTCCAAATTACAACTCTAAGACAGACGACTTAAAAAAAAAAAAGCCAAAAAGAGAAAATAGTATAAAATAATATGAACTATTTCATTTTATTTACGCATTAAATAATTATACTATATATTAACTGGTTACAACTGTATTGATTTTAAAAACACAGGATTACTGAAAGTAAAATATTTTTCTGAAAGCCACTCCACCATTCCTAAATCTGCCTCTTAAATATATTCCTACATTTTTATAATTTTATAATTTCAGACTAATACCAAATGGCAAGAAGGAAGGAGAAAAGGAAAAAACATTGACCAAAAGAATAAAGCCACTTCTCATTACTGCATTTGCTAACGTTGAAAATACTAAAGTAAATTCACAGATTCAAAGCAATGTCAATTAAAAAATCCCAAATGGTAACTCAAATAGGAAGAAATATATGGAAAGAATGTGGTCTAAAAATAAATTAGAAAAAAATTAAAAAATTAGGCATGTATCTACACAGCTATTGATACTGGATTAAAAGAAACAGACAAATGAAAAATATTTTTAAAAACTATACATTGGTGAATTTCAAATGTTAAGAGAACAATAAAATAGGAAAAAGAATAACTGATAAGCATTTCCGATAAAATAATGTTAACATGAAGAAAAACAATCTCTATACCTTCACAACACATCATTTAGAATTTCAGATAGGTTACAAACTTAATTTTTTAACTAGAAAAATATGAAATATTTCTAGTAGTGAAAGGGGGTTTGTCTTTTGATTTCAAACAATTGACCAGATTATTATAAAAACTGTCCGCCAAACATGAAGAATACCAAAGTAAAGATTAAAAGAAAACCAACAGAATGAAAAGAGAGAGAGGAAGGACTTTAAATTAGAATGGCAGATAAAGCTTTATCTCAAAAATACTTAAGGATGGATCTAGGACAATACCCAGACTGCAACAGATAACCTCTCACAAAATATGACTTTAGTCAAAAAGAGGCAGAGTTACATCCATTTAACAATATGCCAGGTACTATCACACTTTACATATTCACTAATCTAATGGTCACAACACCCCTCTATGAAGCAGCTACAAATTTATTCTTACATGATAGACTAGAAAAGTACGGCCCAGAAAGGTAATTTACTTATCCAGTGACAAAGCTGACTGGTCAGAGCCAGTATGTGAACCCAGGCAACCTCGCTCCCTAGTCCATGATCTCAAGCACTAAGCTACTTGCTTCTTTCCTGCGCACAGCAAAAACCCATAGAACATTCCTTCTAAAATCTACAACATTTACTATATTTAGTTTATCTAAGTTTACCAGATATAAACTACTAAAATTTAAGACAAAACTCAAATGATTTTGAGAGAGTGCACTGAAGATTGGGAGAGCCATGATATTATCCATAAAGGGAATAAGAAAAAGCTTTCTGGAAGAAATAATATACAAATTGGGTCTAAAAAGATATGAGACACAAAGAAAAGATGAAAAATGGAGGAAAGCAGTTTATTCTGAAGGAATAGCAGAACCAAGAGCATTCAATTAAGGTAGAAAGGCACTGGCAACGCAAATAGTTGAGCTGATAAATGGTATGTAGGAGGGAAATAAAAAATAAATAACTCAGAAGACTAAAGAGTTTTAGACTAGATCAGCATAAAAAATAGTGGAATAACAAGAACATAGTTGTTATATAAAAACTATGCATAAAAATTAGAAAGATATGGGAATGGAAAGAAATGTCAGAAGGTAATTCATCAGCCTAGGCGAAGTAAGTAGTGTCTTAGGTAAAGTGAAAAATCAATGCAAAGGAATATGTGCATAGCACACCATAGACAAGCGCTGAGCAGGAACAAATAAGACAGTACAGGAGAACCTCTGCAGTCTGACCACCTGGAGGACTGCAGCAAACTGGTCACAATACAGAGCTGGTCAACATAAGGAACTAGGCCTACGGTACACCGAGAACATGCAGTACGTGGCCAGACCACAAAAACTAGGTTAGCTTAAGGAAGTGGTCAATGTAGGGAGGTGGTCAACTATGGAGGCTCTCCTGTACTATTTATGTGGCACAATGCAGGTAACAAGACTGCTAATGCCACTGTTTGGAAAGCTCTGTAATAAATGCCAAAAAGTTCAAAATTCTATTTCCTTAATCTGTCTTTCAGTAGTCACTGATCATTTAGGTGAAATGTTGCAAATACAACAAAGGAGAAAAGAATTCAGAAATAACCATGACACTTGGTAACTGAGAAATTACTAATGACTAAAATAATCAGTAGAAAAAGCAAGATTTCAGAAGGAAAATATGGACGATGATTAATTAAAGTAACAACTTTCTACCAGTCATATACCCTAACTGGTTATAAGGAATAACCTAGATTGTATGATTTTTCAAATCTTTCTGATAATAACACTCCACTTTTTTAAACCAAATTGTAATTGCAATATGTTTTACGTGCTAACTCTTCTTCTTTCATGTTTATAAAAGCATTAATAAAAATCCTTTGAAACTTAAACACTTACCCAGTGCGAGATTGACCAACTTTATCACAAATATCCAAAATAAGGCCCCAGTCCTCGGCTGTATTCATCTCACTGGTTGCTTTCTCTGTAGATTACAAAATGAATTGCAGAGACATTATTTCCAAAATCTTTAAAAAATATATATAATCACATTCAAATTACCCAACTGTAATAAAATCAATTCTCGGTAACAAATCAGAAGGGTTGCAACACTCTGACTAATGAGATTTTGTTGTCCATCTTTAAAAGTGGTGTGGTACCCTCATTATCTATCACAATCATTTTTCCCATTCACACCTCAATTGTTTTTTTCTAAGCATAAAAAATAAGCCATTTATCTTTCTTTATTAAAAAACTTATATACAGGTCTACCACCATCTGCAAATAGACTAAAATAGATATATTATTTTCATTATCAAAAGATTCTTTGTTTTACTATGGTATATACATATATGTGTATACACACACACACACACACACCATGGAATACTATTAAGCTATAAAGAAAGATGGGACACTTCATAGCTTTTGTATTCACCTGTATGAATTTAGAGGAAATCCTCCTAAGTAAAGTATCACAAGAATGGAAAAGCAAGTATCCAATGTAGTCAAAACTAATATAAAACTAGTTGATGAACAACTGTGTCTTCACACAAAAGCGAAATACAATTAAATTAAAAAAGGAGTCGAGAATGGCCCACATCACAAAAATCTCAAAACTGCAGATGCTGGCATGGATGTGGAGAGAAAGGAACACTTTTACACTGCTGGTGGGACTGCAAACTAATACAACCTTTTTGAAAGGAAGTATGAGAACCCTCAAAGAACTCAAGGTAGATGTCCCACTTGAGTTTGCAACCCCTTTACTGGGCATCTACCCAGAAGGAAAAAAATCCTTTTACCATAAGGATACTTGCACTAGACTGCTTATCACAGTTCAATTTATAATCATCAAAATGTGGAGACAGCGTAAATGCCCACCAATCCACGAATGGATTAACAAGCTGTGGTACATGTATACCATGGTATACTACTCAGCCATTAAAAAAGATGGGAGATTTTACATCCTTTGTATTAACCTAGATGGAAATGGAATATATTATTCTTAGTAAAGCATTGCAAGAATGAAGGAGCATGAATCCTATGTACTCAATTTTGATATGAGGACAATTCATGTCCTAGTACATGGTGGGGGGTGGGGGAAGGGAAGAGCAGAGAGAGAGAGAGAGGAGGGAAGGGGTCAAGGAAAGGAAGATCAGAGAAAGGGAAGAAGGGAGGGGGGTGGGGGTCTTGGTGTCTGACACCTTTATGGGGCAAGACACAATTATAAGAGGGACTTTACCTAACAAATGCAATCAGTATAATCTGGTTTCTTATAACCTCAATGAATCCCTAACAATAAAAAAAAATAAAAATAAAAAAAAAAATTCAACAAGGAGGAAGGCAGGCAGAGGACTGGTATACTTTCAACCTCTCACCTAAAGGGCACAATATAGGCATATGTGCACACCTCCTGGGTGCAGAGCTCAACTACAGCTTGGACTTTACGTAACAAACACAATGTAACCTCACTGTGTATACCCTTGTATTAATCTAATTTTATTTTTTTTAAGAGATAAGAGTCTCACTCTGTCTTCCTGGGTAGTATACCATGGCATCACATAGCTCACAGCAACCTTAAACTGTTGAGCTTGAGCAATCTTCTTGCCCCAGCTGCCAAGTAGCTGAGACTATAGGTGCCCGTCACCACACCTGGCTGATTTTTCATTTATTTATTTATTTAGACAGACAGGGTCTCGCTCTTGCTTAGGCTAGTCTTGAGCTTAAATAATCCACTCACCCAGCCTCCTAGAGTGCTAGGGTTATAGGTGAGCCGCCATTCCCGACCTAATCTGAATTTTTTTAAAAAAAGATTATTTGCTTTATTTGCTAGTAAAGCAACATTGGCTAGGCACAGACGTCTATCAAATTGTTTGCAGTAATTAATTATTTAGCTATTTTGATATAAATCTTTGAGTATGCAGAGGGAGAAACTGAGAAGAAGCCAAGCTTTAAAAGCATATTTTTCTTTAAATAAAACCTTGACATATTAAAAACATCAACTGAGGTATGGTACATCGAACAGAATCATCTAATTTAGCTACTTTACTTAATTATAATAAAAGAACTTTTTTCAGACAAACACAAAGGACAGAGAAAACACGAGAATAACAGCAAGCCCAGGCATTTCTGACTAACTGGTTACAAATTTAGGGGTTCCTACTAAACTCTCAGGTTCAGTTATTCACTATAACTCACAGAATTCAAGAAAACATTATACTTATGATTATAGTTTTATCACAAAGGGCACGAATCAAAACGAACCGATAAAGAGATACATAGTTGTCCCTCAGAATTCCTAGGCAGTTGGTTCAAGGACTTCCTAAAGATACCAATATCCAAGGACTCTCAAGTCCTTGATACAAAATGGTCTTGTATTTGCACACAACCTATGTACACCCATCCTCCCATATACCTTAAACCATCTCTAGATTACTTACAATACCTAATACAATGCAAATGCTATGTAAATAGTTATGGTATATTATTTAGGGAATGATAGCCAAAAAGTCTGTACATGTTCAGTAAGACACAATTTTTCTCAAATATTTTTGATTTGTTGGTTGAATCCACATATGTGGAACTCATGGATATGAAGGGCCAACTGTGTAGAGATAGGGCTGGAAGGATCCCAAAGGTGAAGCTTCTGTGTCTTCAGGAGGCATCACCCTCCTGCCACAATGTGTATCACCAATAGGAAGCTCAACTGAGCTCTTAAGTGTTCAGAGTTATTATTGGGGTTTCAATATGGGCATGACTTATTAAACAACTGGCCACATGCTAGAACTCAATCTCCAGTCCCTTTTCTCCAGGGGGTCCCAGAATTCAAAGACCAACTCTTTTAATCACATGGTTAGTCTCTGTGGAGTGACTAGCTGCCACAGTGAGTCATATTGTTAGTATAAACTAAGATGTTATTCCAGGGGCCCACCAGGAATAACAAAGATGCTCCCAGCACTCAGGAAATTCCAAGGATTCAAAGGCTCCCTCCCAGGAAACAGGAACAAAGACTAGTCAAGTTATTTATTACTCAACACTCTTTATAAGAAAACTTTATCTTAAATGAAAACCAATATAAAACACAAATCCAAGTGCAAGTGCTTTGATGGGGAGTCCCAGAGCTCTGGCCTACAGGCCCTCAGCCTCTCTGAAGCCCAAGAAGACTGAGTGAGTCATTCCGAACAATATCCCTCTGTCTAACATTTACTTCATCTTAGAAAAGGAAAGCAAGTTATTACTTTGATTTGGTAGTACATTTTAATAATTAATACATCATTCTTGCTGACTGGTAGCTAAGCGGGCTTTTTAAAAAATATCTGTTTTAAGAACACATTCAAATTTTAAAACTTACTACCTTATTTAAAAATATAATAGCTAAGAATTGTGTTCCCAGCCACTGTACACTGCTGTTGCCCTCAAATGTCAGCACTGCCTCTAGGTCCCCAAGCTCCAATGGAAGGAGCTGGGGTTGGGGGGAACTAAGGAGGTCCTTAACTTACCATGGCTCACACAAAGCAGACTACCTGCTAATCAACTGGCAGTGAAGCACCCAGGAAGCAACTGGCTACAAAGCTGCTTGCATGATGCACCTGCTACTAAAGGGGTGAAAAAAATGCATCACTATAGGCCTGGCACCATAGCATTCCATAAAATTACATGTTATCAAAAGACCACTAAACTTCTGATTCGCAAATGTTCTTTCCAGCATCTGGTGAAAGAAACTGCTCAGGACTTCAAAACAGATCTGTACTTCCAGAGCACAGCTATTGGTACTTTGCAGAAAGCAAGTGAAACCCATCTGGTTGGCCTTTTTGAAGACACCAACCTGCATGCTACCCATCCCAAAGATGTAACAATTATGTCGAAAGACATCCAGCTAGCATGCTGCATGTGCAGAGAATATGCTTCAGAATCTACCCATGAGAGGAGAAATCTCATTCTCAAAAATAAACATTTACTGCTTCTTAGTAGTTCTGAATGTTAATTTTTTTCCATGGGGGTCAATAGATACCCAAGTATATGGCATTGAGTGGAAACACAGGGAAAAGACATCAGGTATTGGCCATCTTTCCATTGCTATTTCTATGCGAGTTTTTTAAATAAATGGGAAGATGCAAGTCAAAATATTTCAGTGAACAAGTTTGAGCAGTTCAACTTTGTAACACCTATAAATAAATCTGTTAAATTTTTCTGGACAAACCAGAATTTGGATATTTTACAAACAAGTATCTTTCTTATTGATGGGAACTAACTAAATTAATAAATAAATAAAAATGTAATAGCTAAGCATGTTAAAATTTAACTTATTAATAAATGAAAATAGCCCTGTGCCTGATCAAATATAAATTACCTATGATCACAGTTAAATATGATCTTATAGTTTTTAAATTAATGACATATCCAAGAATGTGTGGTACAGTCCTAAGCAGGTTATGTTGAGCATTCACAAACTCCCTTCTTGACTTTCCTACACGTAAAAGGATTAGCATCTGATTCAAACTTGTATATAAAGATCAGAAATGTAACTCATTTCAGAACTCTAAAATTGTTCACATCATTTACTGATGCTGTCTCAAAATCAATACTAGCCGCAGTTGTACATGGTTGTATGACTAGCAAATGAAGTCAAAACCATTTATTTCTAAGACAAAAACAGGGTTTGTGGGAAAGGGAAAAGAACAAACAAAAACAACCCAGACTTGCTTTTAAGGAATTCAAAGCTTCATGATGATCTCATTTTATACTCACATTATCCTTACACTAATACTCAAAAAGAAGAGATTGAGAAATTTGCCCAGCAGCACCTATAAAAATCACATACAAAGCCTCATTTGAATGTCAATAGTCCTTTCATAGATTGGAGAACTTTTTCTGATTAACAACTACTTTTGATTTTCTCAAAGTGTACGACTGTCAGAGATTTGGGGAGGTGAGAAATGCTAACAGAATGGCAGCTCATCATGTTCAGACATAGGGGAAAGGATG